TTTCCAGGCTCATTTGCCGTAGTTTTACGGAGCTGGTATTCATCGTTTGATTACAAAATTACTTAAAACTAACGTTAGTAAAGCGGGGGCCGATTACTCGCGGCTATCTCGAGGTTAGGGGCAACAAATGGTAACAAACGGATGGCAGGGTAGGGATTGAGAACACAAGGTTTTTTCGAGCAATGTGCTCTTGATTTCGAACTAAGCGACATACTGATGAAAAAGACAAGGGGGGTACACCGATGGTATAATTATTTTTCGTGTATGAAGTAACATAAAACCTGTCAATATTGATTTCCGAGCGTTACAAACAGTGATTTTACGACTCGTGAGCGCACACTCTGAGTGAACGCTCACGAATCTTAAAATCGCTTATTGTGACGCTTTGAAAGCAAAATTGACAGGTTTTATGTGTCAAACACTGCCAGGTAGCCTAATGGCAAAGTTGAAAAAAAAATCCGGGTTAAGGTGCCATTCTAGGGACCTTCGCCTTTCATTTGAGGCCAATAGATCAAGAATCGGTTTAAAATGGATTTTTGGGAGCGAGTTGCAGTTTGGACCTTTTTTGAACCGCTAATGCACGATGTGTAACTGTTTCCTAATGCATTTGGAAGGTTAATCGAATTTCGTTAATAATTATCCTAAATCCGGTATCTCGAACATTTCTCTTAGAATCTTGAATATTTCTTCAAGCACAGATTTTTTTACCTATCCATAGTATGGGATACCAAAAATAAGTTTGAGGTCGAAAAAATAGCCATCTCCCAGAGCCTGACGTTTTAGAACGTTGGCATCTTTTCGCGTAACAGAATCTGGAAAAGATATTGCCAAGCTTGAGATCACACATTTCTCATTGTTACACTCAAGCTTGCAAATGCTCATTACAGCTAAAATGCTATTTTTCGGATTTTCGAAGTTATGAGATATATTATTGATAATTTTTATTTACAAGATCCAAGAAGAGAAGGTAAAAAGTGTATATGCCACATAAAACCTGTCAATTCAGCTTTCAGAGGGTCACAACAGTGATAAGCTCTAACGATGAGCAACGCGATGAGCGAGCAATCAGCGATCATAAAATCGCTAGTTGTGACCTTCTGAAAACAAAATTGACAAATATTATATGTCATACACAAACTCTACAACCTCTTCTTGCTTCTTATAAATAAAAATTATCATTATAGTATCTTATAGTTTCATAATAAGGAAAAATTGCATTTTAGGTGTAATGAGCGGTTGCAAGCCTGGTTACACTTTTCAGAAATTGTTCGGAGGCCCCTGAAAGAGAACCTAAACATTTTCTGAAATTTCTAGCCTCATTATCTTGAACAGTTGTCTTAGACCTGGATCATGAAATTTGTTCCCATGTTGTGTCTAACAATCTTGAGAATTTTTGTGAATCCTGGATTGTGTACGGAACCTGATTTTTTTTTAATTGACTTATTATTCTCTTTTAAATTTATCTCAGGATATCTTTGTAAATTTCTCAAGGATTACATTATATAACGATCATATTGTTTTTATTTTTAATTACTTTTGTTTTTGGATTAACCTCAATAATCTTATACTTCTGTTTGGTATTCCTTAGAAATCTGCTCCATAACAGTATAATTCAGGAATTTAGAATACTTAAGGAATTCTCTTAAACATATTCTCGCACTTCACTCTACATTTATCTTCATATTCTTAATAATTATTACGAGAATTTTCTTAAATTTCTCAATAATTTTCTTTACAATTCGCTTGGAATATTCCTCGGTTTAGAAACACTGCCCAGAAAAAAAACTTTGGAAATATTTAGGGTGGCCAGCGATCCGGTAAAACCGTGAAATAACCGAGAATTTGAAAAGTAGCCGTGGAAAACCTGGGAATTTAACAGGAGAACCGAGGGAAAAAAGCCAAATTTTTACGCCAGATACTCAGAGTCAATTAGATAAAACAGAGCAAGTATTTACAAAAAAAGAAAATGGCTACATCTTTTGCTGCATAATTGCTATCAGTTTTTCGTCTTATTTTAATTGCTCAACAATATTTCAAATTGATTTTTGTCCCTACGTCAATCCGGATGTAAATTACATTAGCCTTAAATTAAAGAATTCAAAATGCTGGCAAAAAAAAAGAATAGAAAAAAAACCGAAATTCAACTTGGGCTTTGATTTTGTACGGTTTCAAAATTACCATGCAATTCTTAATAGACAATAATCCCAGAATTACCGTGGAATTATGATTAGATTTATCAGAAAAATCTTCTCTTAGAATTCTCTCGTAAATTTCTATGAATTTCTTTTTAATTTTCCTCAATTTTTTAAACTATTCTCAGAATACGATCACTTTGGTATTTTTCTCGGAATTCCCACGAATCTGTTTCCTTGAATTCTGTTTATAATTCTTTTTGAATGCTCATGAGAATTCCCTTAGGATTCTCATTAAAATCAACCTTCTGTTCTCCTCAAGATCCCCTTACTTATGTACAACCCTACCCAAGCAGCACACAAACATTAATCACATATAGCTTACTTCAACACCCAACCGCGGGATGTAAGATTTGTGTTCAATTATGTGGGATTCATCATCGCAGGATGTTAGTGGAGATCGCATGAATGGAGGATGAGATATACCGAGCTGCGGTCCAATGCAAGAAAATTAGAGACCGAAAAATGTGTACTATATAAGTTATAGAAATTAATTATGACCCAGACCGTTGCGATTATCATACCCGTGCTTTCTCCACTGCTCTCTCTATGCTTTGGTACATGGATAGGCTAAACACGAATCAGAAGCGCTCTTAGTACGATAATTTGATTTCGCATGCTTTTTCTGCTGACCGGGAATTGGAGAGAATCGAAGCAAGTGTGTGAGTCGTTCTACAATGTTATAAATAAGAAGCTTGGTGGTATAGTCGAAAGCGTAGACAGGACACGAAATAAAAAAAGATAAAAATCAGTGCATCGTCTGCATGGTCAACTCAAATAATTCTCTGCGGTATTCGCTGCGGAGGATGATAGAAAATGCAACTAACATTGAGTGAAATACATTTTTGGTTTGCGTGTAGGGTATGTTCCTCTCAGAGCCGAACTCGCGATCTCTTTCCGTAAAGCTAACGCGATTAAGCCTTCCAAATAAACGAACTACATAAAGGAGTCCCATACAATTCTCAACATATTTCCCTTGGAATTTTCTTTGAAGTTCAACTCACAACTCCGTTGGAGTTCTTCTTAGAATACCATACAAATTTAAATCAGAGCTTATTTTTTCATTCTACCTAGAATCTATTGGAATTCGTCTCAGAAATATGTTGAAAGTCTTGTCAGAAATCTTTTCAATTTTTCCAAGATTTTTGTAGGAATTCTCTTAAGCATTTTTTTTTAAATCAACACTTAATTTTTTTTTTAATTTTTTACATTTTTTTTTTAAATTGTTTGAAACCTGAATATTCTTCCTAGCCCCCGAGAGTTGAAAGTTTTCCAATGCTGATTATAATAATATTTGTAGTAATTGTACTAATCGGGGATCATAGACATTTTTTAAATTCCTCATTTTGAGTATTTTTCTCACTCCCAAATTGTTGATTCCGTTTTTTTTTAATTCTCAAAATGTAGAATTACGAAACTTTGTATAAGTCACAAATCTCGTAAAAATGTCTTCGACTCTAAACAAATGTCAAAGCCTCAGAATCATAGAATCTTTTTTAAACCCTAAATATGAAAAAATGTTAGTACAGACAACGGAGTGTTTAAACATTTTCTTGCACCTAGATTTTCAAGAAAATCTCTAGATCTCAAGATTTCTAAAATAATTTCTTAATTCAATCTATCACTCTTCACAATTCAGTCCTACGAAACTTTGTATAAGTCACAAATCTCGTAAAAATGTCTTCGACTCTAAACAAATGTCAAAGCCTCAGAATCATAGAATCTTTTTTAAACCCTAAATATGAAAAAATGTTAGTACAGACAACGGAGTGTTTAAACATTTTCTTGCACCTAGATTTTCAAGAAAATCTCTAGATCTCAAGATTTCTAAAATAATTTCTTAATTCAATCTATCACTCTTCACAATTCAGTCCTAGACTCATTCAGCGCGATAGCCAAGTGACCTTACACAAATCTATCAGTATATTCTGGGGCTTGGAAACAAGCTTAAAATGTCATAAATTGATTTTTCTAAGTACAGTCAACTGCCCCTGACTTGATATTCTGTGTTTCGGTATTTTCGCTTACTCGATGAAATTCAAAGTCTCAAAGGAAATAAATATCGGAGCAAGCTGTTTCTGCACTTTGCTGTGATTTTAAATTTCTTAATGCATTACATTGCAAGGGTAAATTACTAATGTTGAGTCTACTTGTTATGAACCGATACTAGAAGGCAAGAACATGTATTTATCTGGTGAGATATGTTGCGAAATGGTGAAAAAAACCCACTGCCTACAGGTGGGAATTGAACCCCCACCTCCCAGTACACTAGACGGGCGTTCTACCACTATGCTACCGTAGACCTGATGCTTACGAAACGGTAATGCGATAGAGACGGTCCAATTCCCCTAGTAAGCGGGATGTGATTCATCATTCCCTTATTACCTAATTTATTACCAGGGCTGATGATCGACCTTCATAATTTATTTATTTCTAAGACAAAATTTTTATGTTTCATTGGCATCTGAGAGTTGGCGTGAAATTTGTTATAAGGGGCTCGGTGGCCTAGTGGTGACCGGTTTTGATAGATGTGGAGATGCAGAGGTGTTCTCGGTCTCTATAAACAATGTCTGTCATACTAACAGACCTTCCCTTCCCCTATGATCGTTTTTGTGTCAATTTACGTTAAATCCAACTTTCCTACGTTGGTATCAATGGAATGTTATTCCGAATAGTCGAAACAGAGGGACATCTGACCTAAAACTCTGCCATTTTATGCCACTGCCTTTACAATCGACGCACAGGTCTTACACCCCACGATAACCGTTTCCGTTTCGAACAGAATTTTAATTTCTCCCCATCTTTCAGAAACCAAACAGGAACTCGAAGACCTTATGGCCGATATTAAAAAAACTGCCAACAGAGTAAGAGGGAAGCTCAAGGTGAGAATTGCTCAGAGTTAGCCTGTACCTGTAACTTTCTAATTGCCATCATCTTTTCCGCCACCATCCAGGGTATCGAACAGAACATTGAGCAGGAAGAGCAGACGAATAAGTCCAATGCCGATCTTAGGATACGGAAGACACAGCACTCGGCGCTGTCGCGCAAATTCGTCGAAGTGATGACCGAGTACAACCGGACTCAGACTGACTACCGAGAACGATGCAAAGGAAGAATACAACGACAATTGGAAATTAGTGAGTCGTCGTCGTCGGTTTTCCAATGATTGCTGTCGATTCTAACATTACTTTCCGATTACCTTTGCAGCGGGTAGAGCGACGACAAATGAAGAGCTGGAGGAGATGTTGGAGCAGGGCAATTCCGCCGTGTTCACGCAAGGGGTAATTCCGTCTTCCTACCACACACAGCCTCGGTGACAGTGTAGAACTAATCTCAATTTCCCGTTTGTGTCTCTCCCCCTCATCGCCAGATCATCATGGAAACCCAACAAGCTAAACAAACGCTCGCCGATATCGAAGCACGGCATGCAGATATTATAAAATTGGAGAATTCAATTAGGGAGCTACATGATATGTTCATGGATATGGCAATGCTCGTCGAGAGTCAGGTAAAGTGGAATTCAATTACTATTACACCCCCCCCTTACCGTACCGTATACCTTCGCTGATGATGACGACGATGATTTAGCAACCGACACAAAAACCGATCCTGGCGGCAGTATCCTTCTTCTACTCCTGATCTGATCGGGCGAGGAGGGGGAAACTGCATGCAGGTCAGTGACAGTAGTCGGTAGTAGTGGCATATCACAGCGCACCTATCACAAAACAGGAAACAACTATACCTATATCAGGATACGTGAGATAAAAAAAATACTAGAAAAGTCTCCAGTCAGATTACAGCCCACATGTATACAGAGTATGTGTTTGTGTCCAACAGACATAAAACAGAAGCGAGAGAGTGTTTTGAAAAATACAGCAGCAAGTACTTACTAAATCCCAGCAGTAGTGTGTCGTAGATCTTAGCCTGTTGTGTAGTAATAGAAATGAGCCTAGCGTGTGTTCTCTACATGATACAATTTCCCATTCCCCCACATTGCATATTTCCTTGTTCCTGTTGGTGATTAGATTGGCGTGGTCTAAAGAAGAAAAAAAGTACACCGAAGAGGAGTGAGTTGCCACCTTTCACCACCATCGATCGATTGATTTGTATCGGCTCGGTTTGAATGTTTTTAATTGCTTTCAGACAGTTCTCGATGATGGTGATGATGGGAAAACTGACTCCTCTAGAGTGTTTTGTTGTTGTCAACTTTTCCTTTCATTTTCACAATTCCATACACATATTTTGTTTATTCTAGCATGCGCCAGAGAGACGAGCCGTTATTATTTGGAGCCATATTTGGAGCACGTGGTCAAAGTAGTTTTCAAAGGTCTGGTCCTGGAGAATTTCCAGTGAATTTCAGAAGAAGGAATTGCTGAAGAAATCCGAGATTAATTCCTTGAGAACTGTCATAGCAACTTTAGATGGAAAATTTCATAGGAATTTAAGGAGGAATTTCTGAAAAATTCACTAGATATGGTTGAGAGATTATAGGAAGAATTCCAGAGAAATTCTAGGGACATTTTAGAAGAATTTCAGAATAAATCCAAAGGAATTTCAGGAGAAACATCAGATAAATTTCCGGAGAAATTTCAGCAGATATTTTATTGGCTTGAAGGGAAAAATTACAAAGGAGTACAATAAAATTCTGCTGAAATTTCAGAGGAAAATCATGAAAAATTCCATAATAATGTAACCTGAAATTCTGAGGACTTCTTGGGGAACTTTCAGAGTAATTTCATGTATATACATACTTTGGTAGAACTTTATGAAAAATTTCAGAGCAATTTCATGAAAATTTTCAGATCAATTTCAGAACGCATTTCGAAGGAACTTTGGGACACATTTAAAAGAAATTTCTAATGAAAATCTAGAGAAATTTTAGAAAATAAATAAATAAATTAACAGAGAAATTCCGGGATAAATATAAAAGTTTTTTTTTGCGATATTTCAAAATAAATCTTTTCATAATTTAAAGTTTAATTTCTAGTATAAATTTCAGAGGATGATATGAATTTGCGAAGTAGTTATAGAGGAAAAATTCGAGGGCAATTTATGGAGAAATTCATGAGAGATTTGATGAGAATGTTCAGAGAAGTTTCATAAGATTTTAGTAAAAAATTCATGATAATTTTTTGAAGAATTTCTTGTGAAATTTCTGTATAAATTTCCGAAGAATTCTGGAAATAATATCAGAAGAAAATTTGGTATAGTTTTTAAAGAAATTTAAAACTTTAGTAAATATCAGACGAACTTCAGTAGAAATGCCAGAGGAGCCAATATGAATTTCAGAAGAATTTCAGGGAAATTCCAGGCCGTTTTGTATGAATATTGAGTGGAATTTCAGATGAAACTTTAGAGGAATATCATGAGACATTCTAGAACAATTTCAGGAGAATTTACAGATGAATTCCAGGATAAATATCAGAGGTATTTCTGGAGAAATGATTGAGGATTGTTGGCTAAAAATACAGATAAATTACAGAAGTAATTCCAGGTGAACTTTCAAAAGAATTCCAGAATAAACATCAGCGAAGTTTCTGGGAAAATTCTTCAGGATTTTTTGCAAATATTACAGAAGAAATTCCACAAGAAATTTCATGTAGTTGTTCCAGGGGAATTTTAAGTGAAACTTCAGAACGATTTCACGAGAATTTCTAGGACTGACGAATTTCTAGAGAAATTTAGTTAGAGTTTTCAGGGAAATTTCAGAAAAAAATCTATCGATTTTTAGTGTAAAAAATTAGAGTAGAATTCCAGTGGAATGTTAGGAAAGTTTGTAAATCTGAAAAAGAAATCAGTTCGACAGGCGTTTTTTTTCAGAATTCCCAGTGGAATTTTAGAAGAATCTACAGAGGAATTTGAGAGGAAATTCATGAGACATACCAGGATTATTACCGGAGTATTTTACGATAAATATCAAACAAATTCCTGGACAAATTTTTGAGGAATTTAAGCAAAAATTCCAGATAAATTACATGAGAAAATTCATGTGATCTTCCAGAATAGTTCCAAAAGATTTCAGAAGTGATTACAAAAAAAAAATTGAGTAGAAATTCTGGAATGATTTTAGGAGAATTTCTATAGAAATGTAAGAGGAAGTTTCTGATAAATTTGAAGATATATATCAGATGAATATCCAGTGAAATCTCGGGCGAATTTATTAAGAAACTGCAGAGGAGATGATAATTTGGGGAAAAAAATCAGCAGAAATTTCATAGGAAATTCAAGATTCCAGCAAATGGGTGATGAATTCCCAGTGAAATTCCAGAGTTATTTCAGAAGATTCCATGTTAGCAGAAATTTCGGATACATTTTTGGGAAAATTCTTCAGTAATTTTAGGGAAATTTCCTGCTGAATTTTAGGAAATTTTCCATACGAATTTGAGATGTATATCCAGCCGAATTTCATGAGAAACTCTAAAGATCTTTCAGAAGAATTGCAGGATAAATATCTGGAAAATTTCAGAATAATTTTTAGCAAAAATGCCAGCGCAATAACAGGAGAAATTAAAGAAGAATTTCAGGAGAAATTACAGAGGAATTTTAGGAGAAATTACAGAACAGTTTTAAGAGAAATTGCTGTATGATATCACGAAAATTTTCAGAGGAACGTCAAGAGAAGTTTTCTGAAGAATTTGATGAGAGATTTCTTAGTAATTTCAAATGGAAGAACCACCAGAAGAATTTGCAGAATAATTACAGGATAAATATCTGACGAATTTCTGGAGCAATTTCGGTTGAGGTTTAGCAAAAATTCCGGTGAAATTACAGGAGAAATTCTTAATTAATTTTTGAATTTGTTCGAAAGAAAGAGAGATTCCCGAAAATTTTAAAGAGAAATGCCTTAATAATTTCAGGAGAATTTTCAGAAGAACGTCAAGTTTCTCGAGCAATATCAGAAGAAAATGCAAAGGAATGTCAATACAAGGAATTTCAAATGAGTCGATATTAATTTGGTATTATATTTCGGTTGTATTTTGGAGAAATTCTACTGGAATTATAGGATAATTTGCAGCCGGATTTTAAAAGAATATCCTGTGAGTTTTCAAAGGAAATTCCAGAGGAATATCATGAGTCATTCCAGAGGAATATCATGATTCATTCCAGAGGAATATCATGATTCATTGTAGAAACATTTTGAAGAATTGGCAGATGAATTCCAGGATCAATATTAGACGAATTTCTGGAGACAAATTCGAGAAGTGTTTGCAAAAATTCCAGAGAAATCACAAATTCCAGATGAATTTCACAAGCATTTCCAGAGCTTTTAGCTTTAAGTTAAATTTTAAAAGAAATTCCATAATGATTACGTGATAATTTTCAGAGAAGTATCTGGAAAATTTTCAAAGGAATTTCCAGAGAAATTGAATATAAATTTAATTGCGTAGAAGAATTTCTAGCAAAATTTCGAAATTCTTAAAGAATTTCAGAAGAAATATCAGAAGACAATTCAGCAGAGATTTCAGATGAATTTCATGATTAATTCCAGTTTTTGGAAGTTTCCTGCGGAATTTTAGCAGGAACAAGAGGAATATCATGAGACATTCCAGAAACATTTTAGTAGAATTTTTCGGAGGAATTCTGGGGAAATTTCTGGTGAATTTGAATTTAAATTCCAGAGAAATTACACTGGACATTCTAGATGAACTAAGAGATGAACTAGCCTCAGGCTAAAAATCTCTATAATAAAGGAAAAAAAAAAAAAAAAAAAATCTAGATGAACTAAGCTTTTCTACAGGTACTTCTTGAGAAATTTTAGAATATTGTTTGAAGAAATTCCAGAGTTTCTGAAGAATTTCAGGGAAATATCAAAATAAGACCAGACGAATTCAATTAGAAATTCCAGGAGAGACAATAAGTCTGGGAGATATTTGAAAAAATCTCAGTAGAGATCTAAGAGTAATTTCAAGATAAGTTCCAAAAATTGTCTGGCGAATTTCAGAAGAGTTCATGTGAGTTGTAGAAGATTTTTTTTCAGGTTAATTTTGTTGAATTTTAGGTGGAGTTCCCAGAGCAATTTGAGAAGAAAATCAAGAGAAATTTCAGTATAGATTATAGAGGAATTTCATTAGGAATGATGAGAGCATTTCGCATGAGCAAATTCGAAAAAAATTCCAAAGGAATTTAAGTTGAAAATCAACCGGGAATTTTCGGTCAGAAATTTATCACATCTCTAACTTATGAATTTCGATATCAATTAATTCTGAATTCTGACCACTAACTTATCAAACTCATTCACGAGTTCATAAATTATTTATATAGCAATAATACATATATTGCGCGAGGATGGCTCCGATTCAACTAAATAGACTATCGGACATTTTTTTGCATGAAAATGTTTGAGCATCAGTATCGTAATTCAAATTGAAAATTTTCATCTGAAATTACGTGACCACGTACCTAATTTCGCCATCCTCTGACTTGGCTTCGTCATGATCCCACGTCGGATCCATTCAATTTGTTGATTCTTACCCAATGTAATCCAGCTTCCGACTGGTCTGTGGCGCC